GTTCGGTTTGGGAACAACAGTCATTTGGCTTACCCATTCTGTAGGTTGGGTCACCGGTACTAGTACTCCTAGGTCGACTAGGCGATCTATCTCACGTTTAACCGGTTCCTTTAGTGCCACTGGAATATTTCTCGACGGGAGTGCTCGTGGTCTGACGTCGGCATTGATGCAGAGATTTGCTTCACCCAAATCACCGATTGATACAGCCTCCTCCGATTGTACGCAAGATATGAAACGCTGGTCGTTGATGGTAATTAACCCCATTTTCAGTGTTAAATCCATACTCAACAGGCACTGTAGATCATTTGGCATGACAACAAAAGTAGCAGTGTATTTTTCACCTGTTTTAACGTTTTCTACAGATAACACAGCTTCCCCCAGTGGTTCCACGCGGCTATGATCCCATACAAATAGTTTGCGTTTTGTAGGGCGAATGTCGTTTGGTTTGACATAACGACGGCAGATTGTGTTGATGTCAGCGCCAGTGTCCAACAGAAAGTTTATGTGCTGTCCCTTTACTGCCAGTTTTGCAGTCACACGGTCTTTTGTCTTTCCACTTTGAACGACCGTGATAGTGTTTAAGTACATATCCTCATCAGTAGCTTCGCCAAACTCATCAACGCTGCGAATATTTGTGTTAGGACATTTCTTGAAGAAATGGTTTGTCTCACCACATTTGGAACAGGTTTTTCCCCAGGCCGGACAATCAGATTTCCACATGGCATGTTTATAGCCACAGAAATTACACTCTAAATGTTTGTCTCTCTTCGCGTTTTGACTCTTAGTACCTACAGGTGGGTTATGTCTCTCAGTAGACTTCTTGCCCTGATCTCTCTGAGTCGATACCTTGTTGACATTAGGAGCAGCAGCTGTAGGGTTCAAGGCTTTCACTTGGGCCGTTGCATTTTCTGCTGTTTTGCAAATCGTTATGCACTTGTCCAGAGTTAAATTTGGCTCACGGAGGAGTCGCTTTTGAGTATCTTTATCGTAAATACCCAGGACGATTTGGTCTCTTAGGATTGACTTGACCGAATCTTGATGGTAGTTGCATGTTTTCATGAGATTCCGAATTTCAGCTAAAAATGTTTCAAAACTCTTGTCAGCAGACTGTGACCGCTGGTTGAACACAAAATGTTCATAAGTTTCATTAATTTCTCCAACTGCAAAATCATCAAATTTTGACAATATTTCTGCAGTTGTGCGGTCGGCATCTTCAGTTTCATAAGTGAATCCATTATGAATCCTGAGGCCCTCATCCCCCAATGCATGCAGTAGCAGGGCCACCTGGTACGCACGTGGGTGCTCGCTCAGTTGCGTAATGACGCTATAATTCTGCCATTTCTGTTTAAAAAGTTTCCAATTTTCCTTAGCTTTGGGCCCGCTAAGATCAGGTGCAGCAGGTGGGTGAATGCCCGATACAGGTTTTGGTGGCATCCCGACACAAATCAGAAATATAAAGCTCCAAAAAAAAAAAAACAGTCAGCAGCAGAGTTCGTATGGCCAGATGTATACGAATAGAGTAACACTCACCGCGTGTTACACAGGCAGTTCAATTCAACGAAGATATACAGTTAGTTTTGTAAAATGTTCATCAGAATATCGTTACCTATGGGTCCTCTGAGTCCTTAGGATCCGTTCCAGCTGCCACCATGTTGAGCTTAGGTTGTAACAGAACCGAATTTGTGTTATTGTACGTAAAAACGCAAACACGAAAATAGTGGCATGCTCCTTTTGCTGCTGAACGACACACAGACAGAGCGCACGCAGCGCCCTCCTGCACAAGCTAACACTAAACATCTCAACAGATGGTTAATTTGTTATCGTATATTATGTAATAAAGTTTCAAAAATGGAAATAAACTCATATCATTGCAGTTTGTCAGATTCAATCATTCACTATGTTCAGAATCTCAGAATGGAAGAAATTGGACATTTAACACTGCTCTGTTGATATTTTTCCCATCTCATCAATTTTCTTAGTTGATTATATAAAAATGGCAGTAAACTGTTAATTTTGTTTTATGTTAAAAATTGTTAAAAATGGAAAAAAAAAAAACATTTCAGAACAGTGCTGTCTTGTTTACATTTTGGCATTTTCAAGTTGTGACTTTGAAGTTCCATGGGCCTGAAGACCTTTGCTAGTCACATTTTCTGAATATCCATGATACTAATATTTTATTATTAAAAATTGATGGTCATTATGCTGTTAAACATTATGTAATATTGCATCAAAATTTGAAAAAAACCTATTTTGGGCACTGCTCCCATGATGACCATTTAAGAAAAACCATGTCACTTACTGTTCTCAAACAGTACAGTAAATATATATAGATGTGTCTGTACATATTGCCATCACCTGCGTCTGTCGTCGCCGTCATCGCCGTCGCCGGCGCCGTGCACTTTCATTGTAAACACGATAAGTGGAAGGCAGTTTTACTTTTTGGCTTTATATTTACAGAGCTGATGAATATTCATAAAACGCAGGTCAAGTTCGAAAATCAGCATGATCGGGCCATTATTGTAGAAGTTATGCTTTTTTTTCACTTTTCAGCATATATGCAACACTGTAAACACATTTCAAGGAAAACCGATAGGCCTGTTGTCATGAAACTCACAGGAGTAATCAATCTTACTAAAACGCAGGTCAAGTTCGAAAATCAGCATGATCAGGCCATTATTGTAGAAGTTATGCTGTTTTTTCACTTTTCAGCATATATGCAACCCTGTAAACACATTTCAAGGAAAACCGATAGGCCTGTTGTCATGAAACTCACAGGAGTAATCAATCTTACTAAAACGCAGGTCAAGTTCGAAAATCAGCATGATCAGGTCATTATTGTAGAAGTTATGCTTTATTTTTCACTTTTCAGCATATATGCAACACTGTAAACACATTACAAGGAAAACCGATAGGCCTGTTGTCATGAAACTCACAGGAGTAATCAATCTTACTAAAACGCAGGTCAAGTTCGAAAATCAGCATGATCAGGTCATTATTGTAGAAGTTATGCTTTATTTTTCACTTTTCAGCATATATGCAACACTGTAAACACATTACAAGGAAAACCGATAGGCCTGTTGTCATGAAACTCACAGGAGTAATCAATCTTACTAAAACGCAGGTCAAGTTCGAAAATCAGCATGATCAGGTCATTATTGTAGAAGTTATGCTTTATTTTTCACTTTTCAGCATATATGCAACACTGTAAACACATTACAAGGAAAACCGATAGGCCTGTTGTCATGAAACTCACAGGAGTAATCAATCTTACTAAAACGCAGGTCAAGTTCGAAAATCAGCATGATCAGGTCATTATTGTAGAAGTTATGCTTTATTTTTCACTTTTCAGCATATATGCAACACTGTAAACACAATATAAGAAAAACAGATAGGCCAATTGTCATTAAACTCACAGGAGTGGTCAATCCTGCTAAAACGCAGGTTGAGTTCAAAAATCAGCATAATCGGGCCATTATTTTAGAAGTTATGCTGTTTTTTCACATTTCCTCAGATTCAATTCTTAGGCATGTTAACAGTCTTATTATTTTACTAATAAGATACATAAAAGTGTTTGTTTGACATTTCCTGCATCTTTACAACATTGTTAGTTGATTATGTAAAAATGATGGTAAACTTGTTATCGTGTATTGTGTAATAAAGTTTCAAAAATGGAAATAAACTCATATCATTGCAGTTTGTCAGATTCAATCATTCACTATGTTCAGAATCTCAGAATGGAAGAAATTGGACATTTAACACTGCTCTATTGATATTTTTCCCATCTCATCAATTTTCTTAGTTGATCATATAAAAATGGCAGTAAACTGTTAATTTTGTTTTATGTTAAAAATTGTTAAAAATGGAAAAAAAAAAATTTCAGAACAGTGCTGTCTTGTTTACATTTTGGCATTTTCAAGTTGTGACTTTGAAGTTCCATGGGCCTGAAGACCTTTGCTAGTCACATTTTCTGAATATCCATGATACTAATATTTTATTATTAAAAATTGATGGTCATTATGCTGTTAAACATTATGTAATATTGCATCAAAATTTGAAAAAAAACCTATTTTGGGCACTGCTCCCATGATGACCATTTAAGAAAAACCATGTCCACTTACTGTTCTAAAACTTACAGGAAAGAAACATGGGACTAAAATATAGCTTCAGTAGGCAATGCAATCTGCCAGTTAAACAGTTTTTTTGTGAAATTTTAATTTTTCACATATTGACATTTTCAAGGTGTGACTTTGAAGTTCCACAGGCTTCAAGACCCATGCTTGTCACATTTTCTGAAAATCCATGATACGTATATTTTATTATTAAAAATTGACTGTCATTATGCTGGTAACCATTATGAAATATTGCATCAGAATAGAAGAAAACACAATTTCGGTTGCTGCTGCCATGATGACAATTATGGGAAAACCATGTTACTTATGATTGCCAAACTTTCAAAAAAGAAATACAGTACTAAAATGCAGCCTGAGTTGGAAAAGCAGTCTAATTGACTTCTTTTTCTGGAAGTTTTACATTTTCAAAGGGTGAACTTGAACTCCCATGGGCCTGAAGCTTTATGTTTGTTACACATTTTACTTACATTGGTATTACCTGTTGAGCATAATTAGAATTTGATGTTGAATTTGCAGTTTAACATAATGTACTTTTGCATCAGAATTGACAGTAGCCTATTTTATGCATAGTTATTTCCTGCTTTTTGTCTGTACACTTGACAGCTTTGCTGCCTTGTTCACTTTTCAGCATATATGCAACNGTTTTACATTTTCAAAGGGTGAACTTGAACTCCCATGGGCCTGAAGCTTTATGTTTGTTACACATTTTACTTACATTGGTATTACCTGTTGAGCATAATTAGAATTTGATGTTGAATTTGCAGTTTAACATAATGTACTTTTGCATCAGAATTGACAGTAGCCTATTTTGTTATTTCCTGCTTTTTGTCTGTACATTTGACAGCTTTGCTGCCTTGTTTTCATTTTCAGTTGTGGAAATTGTAACAGCCAGGAAACATGCATTGGTGAATGTCCCAGTCAGTGTTGTGGCTCATGACAGGTGTCTGGAACTTCCTGTACACCTAGAGGAATCTGGTGGTGGGGATGTGAACTATGAAGAAGTGAACATTAAACCACCAGGTAAAAGTTCATACAAAGAGTATTTTTTTATTGTCTATATACAGACACTGTAAGTCACTGTAACTGTCTGTACATATTCTGATTGGTCTGTCTGTCCATGTCTTTGCCATCGTTGTTGCTGCCACTGTCCAATACATGATGTTTGCCCCATAACTGTATACTTTAAATTTACTGAGTTGCTTTGTTTGGCAAAGAAGCAGGTTGCTTTTGAAAATCCACGTGATCAGTTTGCATTTACGGTAATTATTCTGTTTTTTGTTTTTTGCACAATTTTGGTGACGTTTGCCCCATAACTGCCAAACCGTATTTTTGTTTTACTTTAATTTGTTTAAGTTGCTTTGGTTTTTTTAGTAAAGAGGAAGGTTGCTTTCGAAAATTGGCATGATTGGTTTACATTGACTGTAATTATTCTTTATTTTTTGGAAAAGTTAGTTAAGATGGCAAGTGAAGTTATTGGAACAGATCTTACCCCTATTGAATCTATTTGTCTGGAGAGGGTAGCAAATAAAACAGTCTATCATGAGGAACAGTTTCCATCCTGCTCACAACTTTTTATACTTTTTACAGGGTGTCAAGTTCTTATTTTATTTATTTATTTATTTATTTATTTATTTATTTTTATTATTATTATTATTTTTTTTTTTTGAGATCTTCCTATTTTTGCCTATTTCGTAGAGAAAATTCCTCTTTTTCCTAGTTTTTGGTCTAAAAATGTTATGTGTCAAGTCATGTTGGTAATCAGAAAATAAAAGGAGGATACCTTAGTCAATATTAAACTCAAAGTGAATGTCTTCATTCATCCAGTTGTATTTTAATAAGGATAATGTGAAAAAAGTGAATCTGAAACTGGTTGATTCTTTTATGTCAAATAATGAATATGTATATGGATCTACTGAAGGTCACATTCCAGTTACTCAGGAAAGTTCTAATCTAGCATCATGGGTCACAGGATTCATAGCAAGGTATGACTGTGCTTAAAGTATATTAAATTAACCTTGTATTTGGTTGTGTTCTGTTGTATTGCATTGTGTTGTATTGTATTATATTGTAATTTAACAACAACCCCACAGATTACATTCATCATAAGGGAGGACAACTGAAGTCATCAGATAGTAACAGAAAACAATAGAAAATAACTAATCTATATGTCAGCAGACTTTACGAAAGGTGTCAGACCGTCGGACATACCTGGCAAATTTTGTCTTGGTCTGATAATAAATCCTGTATTGTCGGTCCTTATGTCCGGTGAGTTTTCAAACTGACTGGGAATGTGTAAATTTAAGGAATACTTTTTTTTTCTGGATGATATATTTTACTTCATTTGAAAAGAAAGACAGATGAAAATCTCAGAGAGTTCCCAGCTAATTATACATAATTTATTAACCTCAGTTTCACTCACAAATACGTACGATTTAGAGATTGGCTGAGGTTGGGGGATTCGTGGATGATGTTATTGACAGTCTCGTCTTTGTTTTCGTGATACCCTTACCTGACAAAATGTTAAGCAACACATGTGCTCGTGCTTTTTTTCATTTTTACAGACTTGATCCCTTTTTATGGACATGTGTTTGATATTACTGGCTACACACTCTTAAAACTTGTATTGTTTTTAGTCCTTGTGTCATTCTAAAATGCCTTTTTTTTCATTACATAAAAAACACTTTGCTATGCAAATAATTTTTTTGTCTAAATTTATTATTTTTATTTTAATCTTATTTTTTCACAAAAAAAAAAACATATATATATATATATATATATATATATATATATATATATATATATATATATATATATATATATATATTAGATTTAATGTTGATGATTGACAAAACAAATAATTTGTTGTTTTTCTATTATTTTACTTCAGATTTTGGTTTGGTCTGACAGAATTTTCAAGCTTGCAAAGCTTGCCAGACGTGATGTCTGACAGATATTTTTGGCCTTTCGTAAAGTCTGATTTATCACCTATAGTGTATGTGCATGTTTGACTGTGTGTGTGTGTATGTTAGGTATTTTAGGAGTAACAGTTGTTTGTTGTTACCAGTACACAGAACTGGTCTTTCTGCAATTTCCCACATGCATGCCATTTTGCAGATTAGATCAGTCTACTTCTTCTTTACACTTAATCTAATTTATCATTGCCATTAGGATGGCTGCTCTCCTTCTTGACATACATGGATCTATAGGAGGTCACATTCCAATTACTTTGGGAGGTACTAAGCTAGCAACACAAGATACAGGACTCATAGAGAGGTATGAGTGCTAAAAGTATGTAAAATTAACCTTGTATTTTTTATTCTGTTGTGTTGTGTTACATTGTATTGTATGTATTGCATTGTGTTGTATTGTATTATATTGTAATTTAACAACACCCCCACAGATTACGTCCGTCTAAAGAGACAACTGAAGTAATCAGATAAAAACAGAAGACAACAAAAAATATCATAAAATAACTATGATTTAATTAATAACCTCTTCTTAAAGTTAAGTACTTTTAAAGATATTTAAAATGTTTTTTTAGTTTTGTAAATGAGTAAATGAATGTTACATGGATAATATTTCAAATGTGAAAACAAAAACGCTTGTCAATATGTATTTTCTACATGGATAATATTTCAAATGTGAAAACAAAAACACTTGTCAATATGTATTTTCTACATGGATAATATTTCAAATGTGAAAACAAAAACACTTGTCAATATGTATTTTCTACATGGATAATATTTCAAATGTGAAAACAAAAACACTTGTCAATATGTATTTTTAGCAGTGGTGCAATTCAGAGGGCCTATATTCCAGACCGTGAGACTGTTTCCACTGAAAAGAAGAGCCAGGAAGCTGATATTGAGGAAGAACAGACATCCAATGCTTATGAAACTTTATTACCTCCAACAAATAACATGTCTCCAGCTGACCCAACACATCTCACCCGGTTTCAACCAACACAACCTGCATCTCAGCCAACACAATCTGCTTCTCAACCAATGCAATCTGCATCTCAACCAACACAATCTGCATCTCAACCAATGCAATCTGCATCTCAGCCAACACAATCTGCATCTCAACCAATGCAATCTGCATTTCAACCAACACAATCAAAAGCAACCAATTTTATAGACCAGGACAAGGGCGAGCATGTGTCCTTCAATCCTCTTATGAGTAAAATGAAACCCATTGCCATTGTTCAGTTTCCTTCACAATCAGTGTATGACAATACAACAAGAACATTGCTTAGTGATCCAGATTTTGAAAAATACCTAGAACCTGTGCCACATGCTGCAACCAAGAATGACAAAGCCTCGGCCACAGTTGACACAGCTCAAACTTATTTCCTAGCTGAAGATCCAGATGCTTTAGGAATAGATGATGGTTACATTTTTGTGAAACCTGTGTCCAACAGAAACCCTGCTGCAGCAGCAATGCCAGCTCAAACATGGTCTCCAGCTGCTGTGGAAACTGAGGAGACATTGGCCAGTGGCACGAGCTGTACACGTGATTCTAACATGCAGAATGCCCAACAGATGTCACCAACTGATCATTCAAGACAGGCAAAGGTGGAGACAGCAACTGTTTCATGTTCAACAAAAGCAAAAGCTTTGTTGTTAAAGAGAGAAAACTTACACCGCGTGACAATTAAAGGTACAAATGTAGAGATACGAGGGACTGGGGACCAAGTGATCAAGTCCAAGATAGAGGTAGTAAATCACATCTTGTAATTTTTAAAGGCAGTCTATGTATGTTAGACTTTCATGTCACAAAAATACAATGTGTTAATATTCTTGGAAGTTTCAACATTTAGCCTTTTGTCACCAGAGTTTACCAGTAATATTCAAAATTGATACAATTTTGAGGACAATTTTTTTAGTGGAAGACCACCCTCTTTGGGTCTTTGTTATCAGTCTTTTATAACTAATGGGGAGTAATATAGAAAAGCGAGTAATAAATAATTGTTGCTGTTTTGATTTAGGTGTATGACAAGATGAATGAAATGGTTGAGAAAGCACAGCCATTGTCACAGCGTTTACAAAATGTATTCAATAAAGTTGCAGTGAGGGATTTTATCAACGGAGAATTGTCTAAAAAACAGCTCAAGGTGGAGTGGACATTGGGGCCAGATGGATTAACTGTGACAGCATTTGGTGAGATGAAAGCACCTTAAGTTTTTTATATTATGGAATTTATTCAGAAGTGTCATTTTTTTATTTTATTTTTGTGCAGTTTATGAATTAATTTGATTTCTCCTTTTTCCTGATTTTTGGAATTTTGTTTGATGTCAAGATATTACAATTTTAAAAATTAGATTAATCTTGATAATTGTATCTACCATTTTCCACTAATACTGTACTTATGTGTACTGTACTTTGTGGCATTACTTCATATTTTATTTGCTGACAAAGGAAAGACATTTATATAACCTTACTCAATTTCAAAGTAGAAAAGGTTGGCCAGCCCATTTCAGCAAGGAAGGGTGTAACAGAAATAATATTGAAAATGTATTTCTCTTGAATGTAATACAAATATGGCACTGCAAGTAGTATTTTTTTTTAATGCGTATTTTCAGATTCAACTGTAGCTGATGAGACGATGAAAATGATCATAGCCTTAACTGACATGCAGAAACATATAGTAGAAAAAGATAGCCAGCCCCTTTTGGCAATGGAAACCTTTAGAAATATGGTGCAGAAGTTTAACCAGACAAGAAATGCAGTTATTGAATGTGACACCACTGAGGTAGTGATAGAAGGATTAAAGCAAGATGTGACCAATGGTCTTATCCTAATTAAGAAATATATTCAGGTAAAATTAACATCTATTTTTATTTATTTATTTATTTTATTTTATTTTATTTTTTTTTGATGACAATGAATGTGATTGTCTGTATTATAGAATGAAATTTTAATTATTTGGGAGGTCGATTTACTGGTACTTATATGTCAGGGACAAAATACTTTTCTTGAAATAATATTTTAGTTTTCTGTTACAGAACTGTGTCTCATACCAAATCAGATGATATTTAGATAATTTATATTATATTGTTTGTAAAGTTTGCAGCTGGCACCTAATATACTCTGTGAAGTATAGATATACTGGCACTGCATGGTAACACTGTATTTTGTATTTGATGTAAAAAAAACAAGCAATTTGTTACATTTATTGTACCAGTACATGCAATTTTCACCCCCAGGAAAATACCATTGTTTCATCAACAATACCAGTGTACAAAAGCGGAAAGCTTTCTTATTTGAAGACTCACTGTGAAGCTAGAATAAAGGGCGCTGTGAGGTAAGTGCATGGTGTTACTCACCTGTGCAGTGACCTTGACAGAGGTTGTGGTTGCTATGATACAGCATGCTGGCCATTTTGCAGTTGCAATTAAGCGCGTACTCTGAAGTGCCAAATAATAGTGCTGGCACGATTATTTTTTTTTTCCGGAAATTTACCATCTGGCACAATCTTATTTTCCCCAGCATGATTAATAATTTCCCCAAATTAGACACTGAATAGATTCCCCGCAGGAATTATGCAACAAACATTCAAGTGGGTCAACCATATTTGATTTGCAGATCTGTTAGTCCGCTGTTCTAAATTATTTAATTTATTAACCTCATTTATTTTCAGGCAACCCAAGAACAAGATGAGTATTAAATTTAAAGACAATCACCTGACAGTCAGTGGAGTAAAGGAAGATGTGGAACAACTACAAGATGAAGTGAACAAACTGCTTAAAAAGATTGTTGATGTGACATTCCAAGGGTCCACACCAGGTATGTCAGCATGTCAACGTAATGTGGTAGATGTGACTGTGTGGTGGCTTTGAATGCGTTAGATGTGATTGCGTTAGATGTGATTGCTGGTTGGAGAGTAGACAACAAATTTGCAGTATGACTAGTAATAAGGCAAAGCCATAAGTTGGCTTGATCTCTTTGCACTTCTTCATTGATACGCCTTCTAATTATCATTGAATACCATTGGTTTGTTCCAGGCATGTTTCACTTCCTGACAAGACAACAGTTTGGCCAGAGTCTGCTGAAGGCTCTGGAAAGTCAGAACCAATGTGTGATCGAGGTTGAAGCTGGACATAACCCCCCTATCCCTGCCAGGTAGCCCTGTCAAATTACAACTGTCAAATTAACACTTGCCAAATTACAACTGCCAATTAAATTAACACTTGCCAAGTTTACACCTGCTAAATTAATACTTCAGAATCAATTAAGCACTTCAAAATTTGCCATATCAACATCTTGCCATAGTTTGAATAAAATCAAAATGCATACTCTTAGCAAAATTTCAGGCTTCCCACACACAGTTTCTGCATATGTGCAGCACATTCACATTAAGCACCTAAAGCCAATATAGAGGTGCAATTGATGTCGCAGGCATGCTCTTAAAAATTTACAGTGCTCAGATTGCAAACTATGTTTGGTTAATTTAGGGTCCCATATGTAGAAGTTTGTATCAAAGCTTCACTCTTCTGGAACCATGAATAATAAAAGATAACTCATCGTCTAACCCCAAAAAAGAACATATATGTTACTGTCACAAATGCAAAACATCCACCTTTTACTCACTTACTTACTCAAAATTCAGTCATCACTGGTTTTGGTCTATGATTTATCTCCTACAAGTATAACATTGTAAAAAATGATAATAAACTTCTGTATAGAGCAATTAATTGTCTTTGAGCAACTTTAGTTTTCTTGTCATTGAATATTTTAATATTAAAAAAAAAAAGCGAGGAAAATACACTCTACCAACAGTAAAATAAACATTAAATAAATTCATTTTCCCCTTGTGCTCCAAATTTTATATCAGAAATGTCAAACTATCATGGAATCTCTATTTTCTAGTCAGAAAAAAAAACATTGTTTTTTCTTGCACCAAGTACTTGAAAAAAATGAAACATTTTGACAATTTTCTAGGGAACACAAGTTACCTAGTATTAGCCATGATGCAAAGCCCCTTGAGTTACAGTTTAGACATTTATAAAAACATCCTTACGTCATGTCTAATTTATCATGACTGAACTGCTATAAAATATATTGGAATGCGTTATAAAGATTAAAATTAAATGACCCAGAACGTGTGTTACCGTACGTTTTTAGAACATATGTTATCGTTAAGGGCTCTTTGCATAATGTTAAAGACATGTTTAAGTTAAAATTTGAATTAAAATTGAGACAGTTGTGGATTTTTGTTCTATACACATATATATTTAAGAAATTTGATTTAGGTCACACATAATCTCAATCTCAGCGACAAAAGTTGATAGAGGTCATAGTTGCCCTGATGCGGTAACAAGCATTGCAACCCTTTGTTAGTAATGAGCTAATTGCACTCTTAACCTACCCTCACTGGTTAATTACTAGTTTAGTATTCATAAAAAGAGGCGTAGTTAGGTATTAGACAATTTTTCTGATCACTTAATGTGTTAGCAGTGCGTTGTCTTCAAATTAAATCAGTTAACTGTAAATATGGCTCACAATAGTGTATTATTTATCATAGTGTACTTTCCACTTTTATATATGACAGAGTTTTTATGTACAGACACAGATGTGTCTGTACATATAGCCGTCATCTGCGTCTGTCGTCGCCGCCATCGCCGTCGCCGTGCACTTTTACCGATAACACGATAAGTGGAAAACT